ATTGGGCGGTAGCCATAATGGTGGTCGAGTAGATCATGTTGTGCGGGGTGGAGAACCCTCACTCCGCGCAAGGGGGATGATCGCACCACGTTGTGTTAAAATGGTCAAGCACCCTCGAGGCAGTTACACAGTGCTTACAACTGTCTCTGGAAGTGAAAGCACCAGAAAATAAATTAAGTCATACGCAGCTGTCATCCGTACGCAAGGAAGTAAGCACAAGATGCCGAAAACCCTTAGCAGGATGCAGCGCACCCTTCATGCGACTCGCCGAATATCTCACGGCGCTTCGCGCTTGGTGATGTGAGAGCCTGGTCCGGTGAGAACCCGGCGTGCTCCGTCCCGGCTTTGTAGGGATGTGAGATCAATGGTCAAACGACTACGGCATGCACGACTATGAGTACACCCCCCCCCCCCCNGCTCCGTCCCGGCCTTATAGGGGTGAGATCAATGGTCAAACGACTACGGCATGCACGACTATGAGTACACCCCCCACCCCCCACCCCCTTGCGACTAGGACTGACGCGATTCTGGGGGTGTTCATTGATTTCTACATGGAGATCTCTTGGAGATTTCTCTGTTCAGAAATGTTTCGACAATAAAAGAAGAGGTGAGATTGATTTCTCCACATTTCATTGAGGAAGAGGGCCGGAAAGCCCCGCCGACCAACTTGATATTCACACATTCCGACATTATTCCTACCATGGTACGAGGAGAGGATAAATTTCATTTTCGTAGAATATTTTTCCGGTGTCCATTTAAGTTAATACCCCCACTCCATGTGGAGGGCAGTCGGCTTCTGACCACGGAAGGCATCCGCGTCCGTTGGACCAGCACGGACATTATTAGAAGATACTGAGTGGATACCGGAACGGTTACATGAATGTGAAGATAACAACAAGAACTTCCGAGAAGGTGGGAGAGATTCATGTTATCCGAATTGGTTCCAGGAAGACGGTGAATTGGTAAAGACGAGGACGCGCATTGTCGCACACTTTTTGTGTCTACTACTGCTCGCGGACGGGGGTGAACTATGCGAGGGTTTATGGCGGGCGCCTATGGAGGCATACTCAAGATATTGCGAAACGTGCGACGTAGATCGACATCGGTCTGTTGATTTCTGGGAAGTTGACGATGTTGGTATATTCAATGTCAGTCATTGATTTTTGTACTGCTGTAAGC